GGTACTACGTTTTCTAGGTAAATTTTGACAGTTTTAGCTATTTTTTTTCTTATTTATTTTTTTATTTTCTGATTTATTTGTTCTCTTTTTTATTTGATTTAGCTGCGCATTCTAGCAGAGAAACGTATGCAGCGAGGACTGATTAGAAATAAAATGCAGTTATAAAATATTTTGGTAATCCAGAAAGTTTGTCTAAAGTACCCAGTTTGAAATCATGTGTAAGAGCGATAGAAAAATACTCTGTACCAAATAGATGTAAGTCTGTACATGCTTCTTGTTAATCCTATTCTTATATCTCTTATCGATTTTCTGTTTGAACTTTGTAAATGTATTAAAGTAGGTACTGTTTTACACTATTCATTAACGAATCTAATCTCTACAAACAATATATGTACGTTACTACCAAATTACAGTTGATTGTTATTTTTTTATCATCGAATTCACAATTTTTTGTTTAAGTAGTTTAAATTTGATAATTGCTCGTGATTGGCAATTGTGATTAGTATTATTATTATTATTATTATTGGCATCAGTTGCCTCTGCGGAGACCCGCTGTCGAGCCCTGACAGCAGACCCCCATTGCGAGAGGTCAAAAGATACTTTGTCTATGCTAAGAATGCGGGGCCCGGGGGAGGGGGGGCTGCGCATTTTTGGTTGAGTGAGGTTCACCAAGCAGTTCCGGATTTGGAGTATCCTGCCTATAGGGCTCACTCGAGCATCCAGTCGATTTAGGAGCACAAGGCATTCCTTTGACTGAGCAAGCTTGTGTCGCGACGCGCGGTACAGGATAAAGATAAACGCTTTCAACCTACCCAACACTAACGATGCAGCACCGTTCAACGAAGAAGAACTCAAACAAGTCGTCCGAACGCTTAAGAATGGAAAAGCTTCAGGACTAGATCTGCTGGAAGTGGAGGTCGTTAAATGGGCAATCGCGTACCTCCCATAAATATTTCTGGCTCTATTTGGCACAGTTTTCTTTCTTAAATTTTATCATTTTGATAATTAAAATTGAAAAAGTTCCCGCCGACTTGGAATTTCCTTGTCGCGAGCCTCTCTTTCGAATAACTCTTCAAGGTTTATTGATTTTTAAGGGCAAAATTTACTCCATTAATAATCAGAGGGGGGGGGCCTATTGGTCCCAAAATTATTATTTTTCACCTTCTAGTTTTTCTCTTTAGTCCCTTCAAAGGTGACGACGCTTGAACGCGGGAAACAGTTGCCGTCGGATCGCGCCGCTCTCAGCTGTAGGCTGCATCCGTGGCTCTTTCTTCCTCTCATATTTTTAAAAATTGAATTCAAATAGGGTCCTATTCAGTTCCATTAGTTATACAGGACCTTCAACAAGTTATTTCTTGCATTTTTGGAAATTCTAAAATCTTTATCAAAGCCTTAACTCGGATTCTTACTGAGCAAAGTCAATGCCCGCCCCTCGGGGAATTCAATTTTAGTTTCTCGCCTTGAAATTATCATACAAAATAATCTTTAATACATCGTTGAAAATTTTAGAGTCTGAATGAATCATTTAGTTAAACTTTCCGCTTCAGAAGGTCACTGAATCTTGTCCTTTCATTTAATTTTCAGAAGAATTAGAGGTTTAAAGGCAATGCCACGCCCACTTTCATTCGGTTAAGCGGCAAACTCCATACGTCCGTGCATCGGGCACCAACTGGCTCCGCCTCCCACAACTTTAACACTTTCTTGTTCATTCATTTATTGACAAATTAACCTAACCAACTCGTTTATCTACTGATAATTAATTACCACGTTATATTCGTGTATTATTCAAGTATCCCCAATCATACATGATTAAATACCTCCTAATTCAAGTACAGGTAATTTGTCTTTTATGCTACTACATAAATCATAAATCATGACTCAAGATTTTATGCTATTTCATCTATCTCAGCCGCGACGTTAATCAATTGACTTCATCAGTATTGTCGCCTTCTCTATTTTTCTATAAAATATTCACTTCCGGCGAGTTAATATTTTTGAGGAGTAGAAATCTTCATCTCCCAGTCCTAAATGCCTAAGTTATCGACATCGGGAAAATGAAAAAATCATCGATCTACTCCACGCTCTCTTAATTATCGATTCATCGACAAATCTCTTTCCTACTTTTTCTTCGGAACGAAAGTTTAATCTGTTGGAGTTTGTAAAAATATTCCGGGGTGTACATACGCATACATACGCGCTTGCGTATGTATGCTTCCATAATCAAAAGAATAAAAAAAATAGTTGAATAAGTGAAATATTTATTATGTTGTAATGATAATGATGACGACAATAAACAAATAATGATTAAAATTGAATTAGAATCAACCAGATTCACAGAAGTTTCACCGATGAAGAGTTAATTTAATTGCACATAAAATTTATTTTTGCTCTTTTCTAAATTTATTGTCAGAAAAAGAAAAAAAAACACACCAAATAACAGAACCCCTAAACGAGTTCCTTTGAATATAAATTTATATTCGTATTCTCGCTTATTCACTAACTAATTCGAAACTTTAGATCTGAGTTTTCTGTGTAAGATAATAGATTAATTCTGGGTTGATTATACCAATAATATAACCGTAAAATAGTCATTATATTATTATAGTAATATTACTAATAATAACAACTACTAACTAACTAATTTCGGATTGTCACTATTGCTAATTAAATAAACGTTGTTGCTTAACATTTCCGACTAAATTGCTAACGATAAAATTTCCTTATCAACAAAATCTTTTGTTATTTATGTCATTTTCTTTTCAGTCAGTGACTTTTAAATACTTTTCTACGAAACCGGAAATCAGAGTTGCTGGACAATTCCATTTCTTTCGTTTTTTTTCTTTTCCTTCTTTTCTCCCTCGCGCTTCCAGATCGCTGCTAGCCATCCTTAAGCTCTAGACACTGCGAACCACAACTAAGCACCGATCATAACCCAAGAAAAAGTTCTTTTCGCTATTTCATATCAATTGTTTAGTTGTAAGTTAATACTAAGTTTACTTATTCTTCACATTTCGCTTGCCCCAAGCTCTGGACGACATACACCTTTCGTATCCTTCCTGCTTTTATGCATGCTATCCATATTCGTTCAAGCATACATCTGTAAATAGCTCTCTTGCACACTACCCGCTTCACTACTGGAATAGTAAGTTTCCTTTACGGTAAGGAAATGAATCCTAGCAATGCGAAACACGAGCACGGGACTGCTAGCCACGATCAAGATTCTGGCGCGGCCGACTATGGCACGCAGGAGCAATGGCCTGAGACCACTCTCAACAATACGCGCTCTATCGAGAAGTCAGACTTTCCTACGAAAGATTTTCCCTCTTCTCTATCAGAGTTCTACGGAGATGGTCGTCCACCTACGTATGAGGAATTTGACAAAGCGCTTACCCGACAACTTTGTATAGTTCCCGCAAGAACCAAGAAAGTTACGTTGCTCATGTTCTCAAACGTATTCATGGGCCCGCGCGCCGATATTCAGAAGATCAAAACTTGACTTCAGTCCAGCAAATCTTGGACACACTGCGAAAAGAGTATCGCCCCAGGGACCAAATCGGTTTCCTTATGAATTAGATACATCGTCTTTGGAGAGGAAGGGAGGGGTCCGTTAAGGACTTACACTATCAAAGTAAGGACATCCTTGCATCTTTTCAGTCAGTCATGGACAACGGCCAAGATAATCGAGCCCTATTTCGCCAACTCTCTAAGGACGCTCTTAAAATCCTATTTCACAACCTGCCTGAAGCCCTCCGGATTTCTATTAACCGATGTGTGGAACTCCATGAGCTGACACTCGACGACCTCTATAAACGAGTGGGTCGAGGGTCTTACGCACGAGGACATTTCGCGGAGGACTACTATCCTTACGCTGCACGCCGCAGCGACTCCTAGGACCGCTCCTAAGATGGTCATTCCGGAGAAGATTCCCGGGAGCATCACCATTCAAGGTATGATGTACATCATATCCGGCGTGACCGCGAACCATACTACCAATGACGGGAAAAGAAGAAATCTTTCGTGTTCTCCCTACTCCCTCCTCATCGCCGGCCCTCCTCGCGATCCCCTACTCCGGGCCCTACAAGCAAATCCTTTGGGCCCAAATTAGAGTCAGAATCAAAACCCGAGCCCAAACCGGACTCGAAACATTCAGAAGGAGACAACCCCCGCAAGGTTTCGTTCGCGGAACCTAAGTCCACTTCTTCGGGCAGTCGCAGAGCGTCTCCTGCAACTGAACCCGCCTACAACAAACTCGAGGCTTGTAAGGAAATGGCTTACCCTATCCATTCTTTCCAAACTGCGCTTCTAATCCCCCTCCTTTAAATCCCAATCAAGCTCTGGAATTGGCCCTCAAATGTCTCGAGGAATCGGAGAAGACTTTAAACTCGAAGAGCGTTCGTTCAAAGGGGGAAGCAGCGGGTGTCCTCGAAACCGATCCCTCCTCCCCCGTCGGTGAATTGAAAACTGCCCTAGCGGTTCAGGCAGAGACGGAGGAGTAACTATCGGAAGCCCGGTAGTAACCATCTTTCAACACGAATATTTCTTCCAGCCCCTTCAGATTCTTTTTGACTCTCGCTCCAACTGCAGTTTCATCCACTGATGAATTTTTTTATGTCAATTTGTTTTCCCTTTTTGTATAAGTGAGGTTTTTTTGTTTTGTTAAATAAGTTGTCTAATCTTAATTCATTTATTACAAGTAGTAATAACACAGATGTAACTTAAAAGAAAAATAATACAAAAGTAATACAAAAAGCGCCTGCAACATAGAAAGAAACAAAAAAGTATATAACATAGCAGACAAGAAATAAAAAAGACCTGACTTGCCAGACAGAAAGAAGTAATACCTTTTTCCTAGTTTCAATAGTTGCTGTTACATCTAACAGCCTTTACAATAACATTCATGAGATCAAAGAAAAAAATAATTTTTCCTGACACTACAGACTCAGACTTGACTTGAACGCTATGCGCATCTCCTTAAGTTTTATTTACATAAAAGAAAATAATTACTCCAAACACTCCTCCTTAATTATTTTACTCCTCAAACATTTAAAGTGCTTACGGAGTAGAGGCTTAGTCAGGATATCTGCGAGTTGATCCTTCCTTCTGACGTAAACTGGTGCTACTGTAGTTTTAATTTGCTGCTGGATAAACTTTCTAGATATCTCAATGTGTTTCTCCCCTTTTGTGATTTTTCCTTCGTGAGTGTTTTTCAGCATGTGAATAGCAGACTGATTGTCAATGTAGTGTGATGTAGACTGGCTCGTACGTAATTGATTTAATTCTTCAGCTAGTCTTCGTATCCAGCAGACTTTATCTTTGGCTAATACTGCTGCTCGATTCTCAGCTTCAGCGGTTGAGTTTGATACAGTGCAATGTTTTTGAGTGAGCCAAACTATAGGGCCCCCACGCAGTGGAAGAACTCCACTAGTAGAATGTCCAGTTTCTGAATCTCCACCATAATCAAAGTCACTGGATACAGACAGACTTTTATCTCCATTGAAGCATATTCCAAACTTCGTTGTCCCTTTGACATATTGAAGGACACGTCTAATTATTTTCCAGTGACTTTTCATTGGTTTGTTGTTGAAACGACTCAGGTAATTAACTGAGAAGCATATATATGGACGTGATATGGTGGTAAGGTAAAGCAGACTGCCAATGGCTTCTCTATACGGCTTTGACTTATCTAAGGGACTATCATTTATGGAGTTTTCAGGATCTGTGACCATTCCTCTTTCAATAGGTGTGTGTGCGGGTTTCAGATCCCCAAACTCGAAACGATGTATAACTCTATCTGCATATTTGGACTGACTTACATATATTTTGTTTTCAGACACTTAAATTGGCATTCCGAGGTATAAAAAGCTGTTGTTTTTTCAGTATCGTAAGTCATCTCGAACTTTTTATCAAGCTTCTTTAAAACTTTCAGCATTTCGGTTTTATGTTGCTAGACTATGAGACCATCATCTACATGTAGTACAATTATTATGTTCCTGTTCTTGTTATAGTAAACACATGGATCGTTATCAGTGGATCTAAAATTTAGAAACTTGAAAAATTCTAAGAACGTTGCATTCCAAATCTTTGGTGCTTGCTTCAAGCTATAAAGATTTTCCCTCAATTCACATACGAGACCTGACTTGTCATCAGAACTTTCTGGTTGACACATGAATATTCTTTCATCTAGTTTACCGTGTAGGAAAGCAGTTTACACATCGAATGTCATTATTTTCATGCTTTCAGATGCAGCTATGCTCAAGATTAACCTAATTGACATCATACGAGCAACAGGTCTAAAAACTTAAAAATAATCTTTACGTTCTCTCTGTTCGAAACCTCTGGCAACGAGTCTTGCCTTATATTTTTCATCATCCTTCTTGCGTAGCACCGAACGATAAGTTATAGGTGTGATGTCTTTAGGTTTCTCAGTCAAAGTCCATGTTTTCATTTTTGACAGTGACTCGAACTCTTCTGACATCGACTTCTTTCAATTTTCGTCTTTAAGTGCGTCAGCGACTGAAATATCATTGACATTATTAGTTAAACCTGTCCGAGCTATCAGACTCGCTTTAATTTTCTCGACTTGTAGACCAATCGTCATCTTCAAGATCTTCAGCGTTAAAGCTTTCATATTCCGAATTTATGTCTGAGTTTTCATTGTCAGATGTTTCAGTATTTACTTCAATCGAAAACATTTCTAGATCAGTAAGACTTTCAGTGTCATTCTTGTCATCAAACACTACATTGCTTGAGCTTACGACATCATTCATTTCTCTGATGAAAACTCTGAAACCAGGTGAATCTATATCATAGCCAACAAATGAACTTTCGGTGGATTTTTTTTCCGTCTTTCTGATTTTATTATATTCTATCAATACGTAACAGTCAAAACCAAAAGATTTTAATTTACTCATGTCTATTTTCCTTCCAAACCACAGATCAGTTAAGCTTTTACCTTTTACTGTGCTAGTACCAGTGTGATTAATTGTAAATATGACATAATTTATTGCTTCGCCCAACAGATTTTCTCTCAGACCTGCAGCATGTATGACAGTTCTGGCAGCTTCGACTACAGTCCTCATTTCCCTTTTAATACGTCTATTTTGTTGTAGCACGTAGGCTCTGGATTTGCTATGAAAAACGCCAAGACTGTCCAGAATTTTCTGTACATCACTTTGCTTCATTCCAGTGCTATTGTCCGATCGTAATACTTTGACTTTCGTGTCAAATTGATTTTCAACTAACCTCAAAAATACTTCTAGTTTTGCAGCCGTCTAATTCTTATGTTTTAGGAAGTACTCAGTGTTGAAATGTGAGAAGTCGTAACAGTAAAAAATTTTTTGCTCCTCCTAATGAGTGAATATTCATTTCACATAGATCTACATGTACTAGATCAAGTGGCCTTGTTAACGTTTTTTGGTTTGAGGAATGCGATACTCTGTGCTGCTTCCCGTAGGTTTATCCTGGACATACATATTTATTCCAATAATCTTAACGTTAAATTCCATTGTGTCTTAATACATTTCGCACGTGTGCAACGTTTTGATGTGCGAGTTTTTCATGCCATTTTCTCAAGGAAATATTGACGAGACATCTTTCTGACTCTCTGCGAAATTGCGTTTCGTAGAGGTTTCCCTCTCTGAATGCTATTGCACCAACATTACCATTGCTGTTCTTGGAGACTGACATATTTGCATCAGCTGATTGTGTGTATCCTTTGTCCAATGTAGAGCTTACTGAGAAAAGATTAAATGACATTTTTGGAGTGTATACTACTTCCTTTAAGACTATCTTTCGCCAGGTTTGACCATTAAGAGTTTCAAGCTCAACATCACCCATGCCAATACCTTTTAGTTCGGTTGCATCACCAATAATAATCATAGATTGTTGATCGAGAGTAATATAGTCCTTAAACCACTCTTTACGTGAACTCATGTGCTGAGTTGTAGCACAATCTTGATACCAACAGTTTTCAGGAGAATTATTTAGGGAATTTATTGACGACAGACTTACTGTGATAAGGGCACGTCTATTACTACTGTTTTTTATTGCTTTTTTTGCATGACTTATCTTCCTGCTGACTAGCATCTGAGTTCGGACAGTCTTTAGCAAAATGTCCCTCATCCTTACACTTAGGACAACCATATGTATTTTTGCAATTCTTTAAATATTTTGCAGACGGTTTTCCATGACATTGTGATTTGATGTGACCAGTTTTCCTACATTTAAATCATTCTACTGTGATGTTCTTCTGACCAATAATGGAAGTTTTGATGATTATAACATCCAACGTTATGAAACGTGCACTCATCCGTAAATAAAATATTTTTGATGAATGATGATGTTGTGTTTTGTGTTTCTTCATTTATAATCCAATTACAAAACTCTAATCGAGGTGCAAAATCTCCTTCCAACAGCTCCTGAACTCGGTCTTTTCTGAGAGGATGCATTCTCATGCTTTTCAAAATTCGTTGGATATTAGATCGACTTATATCCAACTCTGTTGCAGCTCTGTTTATGTTTGATTCTGGATCAACTAGAAAATGTTCCAATACAGCATCTTCATTTCGATCACGATGCCGTGAATTCGGTCCACCGACTTTAGAACGATCCATGACGACACTTCCTGTTGTGTGGAACCCATTCGACGCTCTTAAAATAGTCTTCGGCTACGGACATTGCGATTTGGGTAACGTTTAGTATACGCTTGTGCTGCTTCTTCCACGTTGAAATTATTCGACACATACATTGTATACATATCGACATGTTCACTGGTACTGTATTTCATTATGATGTTGACTTTCGAAACAACTTGAATGTAAATAAACATGATCTGAAAATGTTCAGTATTTATACTGTTTTACTTTGAAGGGCGGCAAGGAAACGACAGTGAAGGTGAAAATTATTTTCTGCACAACACTACTACCTACTTAAGGGATCTTGGTCTAAACTCATTCGTAACCCTTGAATAGGCTCTAAATAAAAATGAAAATTCTTTATTTATGGGCAAGAACGAAGTCCTACAGTCGTTGTTTTCTTATACTGTCAGTTGTTAATGCATAAATCATAGCAATTTGACAAATAAAATGAAGTCAAGAATTTAAATGTAAAAAAATAACGGTAAAGTAGTCTTGCGTCGGTTGTGCATTATCCTTTCGAAATCACAAATCTTGGAAGTGCGGAAAACACCTGCCCGCATCTATAAAACACGGTAAACCTAAATGGTACTACCTGCCCTGAAAGTCGAAGATAGTTTGACAAATGGTCAAATGAGGAAAATTAGGATATTGAATTATGACGTACAAGCTAATCTGTATGACTCAGAGAAAAGTACCTTACTTCATGTATGAAAACGAAAATTTACATTGAAAATTATGAAAAATTAAGAAGCTTTAAATAAGTTAAATGTCATTGCAAAGCTCTAGTTGGAGAAATGAGCACTTCGTTTTTTAAAGACAATAGTCAGGCAACTCTATGTGAACAAACCAATATAAGTCTTTGTGATGATGCTGACTGTCATGAGTGTGGTGACATTAATTCAGAGTTAACAACAGCAACCGCTGATGGAGCGAGTGATCAAAGTTCGACTAGTGCTCTACCAAATGTATTTATCAATCGATTATTGACAGAAAATAAGCACCCATTGAACTTTCCGGACATTTGTAAAAATACGTACGGAATTCAATGAGATAGAAGAAGTTTTACGACTCCCCTTGCTGGGGGGTACCGGAAATAGACAGAATCAGCTGAACTCGGTACTTATGACCTCTGGATGATTTCAATCAATTACCAGAAGCACTGGACACTGCTTATTATCATTCTGAAACATAAAATTTTCCTGTACATCAATTCATGTACTTTCAAAATACCCCCCAGAATCATTGAAGGATGTCAAGCTATTATAGAAATATACTGCAAAAATCGATTGGGGACAGGGTGGAGCGAATGGAAATTGTCAAGACCACAAGATATACCACAGCAATTTTCCTTATACAAAATATACCTAACTCCTGAATAAATTACAGAATTAAAGACGACAGTCTCCATACTTAATATCAGTGAAAAACGTTCATTTAATCATGGTATAACTAAAGGGATGTTTAGTTGCGGTGTAGAATAATAAAAACATTACATTTAGCATATGTTTAATGAAAAAAAGACTATACTCTAACGAGAATATGGTGTTTATACTTTTTATATCTATTTCAGTATTTACAAAAACACTCCGGATAAAAATATCAGTGCTCTGCAGTGGTCTGGGTGCGACCCGAGAGGTCCACACGACCAACTTCCAAGTGGAAAAAATAAAAAAAAACCATGTTTTGTTGCTATAATGATAATTATTATTATTAAAAATGTCACAGTTATTATTATCATTTATTATTATTTACAATATTATGCATAAAAATGCTGGACGAGTGTGACGCCGCCGCCACGGCCTTGACGCCCTCTGTAGCCTTCCCATCCTCTTCCTCTTCCTGCATCGCTTCTTCCACGACCTCGACCTCTTTCCTGTCCTCTAGCTCTACCTCCTCTCCGTCCTCTCCTTCCTCCTCCACCTCTCCTTCTTTCTCAGACTCCACCCCGAGCAGCGCCTCCTCTTTTCTCATCTCTTCTCTCACTTTCTTTCTTTTCTCTCCCATTTCTTCTTTCTTTTGGAGTGTGGTGAGCCCCTTCATTCTCCCCTCTGCCTATAAAGGTGAAAAAATAGCAATAATAATAATAGTAA